GCTGGAAAAACCTGCAGTATGTACAGTCTCTGGTGCAAAAGATCGAACTTCAAAGAGATCCTCATCATGACGTTTGGAATGTGGAGGGGCTTGGTATGTAAAAAAACATTCTTTTATCCTTAACATCAACAATCCGTAATGCATGCCAAGTCTCATTAAGAACTTAAATTGCTCTTCAAAAAGTGAGTTCAGATGGACTTTCATATATAATTGGGATCTACTCGCAGCCACTTCTCTTCTAAGACCGGAAATGTCTGTTAAAGACGAAAACAAAGGACAAAGGACAAAATGGCGTCTCCCACCACGTCGTTATTGAATATTTCCCTGATTAAGAGAAACAGGAGCTAACGGATGGTTGGTTATAAAGACTGGAAACAATATTACATATACAACTGTTTGCAAAAAGATGGTTTTTTTTTTTATTACGAGAGAGAGGGCTAAATGGATGTCTGGCAGCCCCCCTCTAGGGCCCGGAGGGGGGACTGGGAAGATTCCAAAGGCCAATTGCTAACTGTCTGGTATATGGCTACATTGCAAACAGTCTGTTTAAGATAAATCAACAAGAAGGGTACAGAAGGAAATTTCTCTCTGTTTCTTTGATAACACCTGGATGGGAAAGATTAACGATCTGGGAGCTGCCAAAATAACAACTCTCAAAGAGCTGGACAGAACTTTGAAATTGGATGCAATTAAATGAAGCGGTGCGATGAAAAAACAGCTCAAGGAGTACAATATACGGACAAATCTGCACTCCATAGGGAAAAAAAAGTATCGGTTTTCTGACATGAGTGAGGATCGTAGAACCAGAGTCAAAATGTGGAAGGGAAAAATCGGACATGGAATTATGAATAACATTGAGGATGATGAGAGGCAGGACTATGATGTTGAATGCGCTTCGAAATTCAGACCGTGGGAAGTCAAAACAAAATTATTACAATTTGGAAGACAATTGGACCTTTTTTATTTTAGTTTTTTTTTAATTGGATTTGATTTGATATGTTAATTGGATGTTTTTATTGGAAAATTAATAAACGCTTAAAAAAAATGCAGCAGTCTGATTGGTCCTAGAACAGTAGGATCCAAAATGCAGCAGTCTGATTGGTCCTAGAACAATAGGATTCAGAATGCAGCAGTCTGATTGGTCCTAGAACAATGCAGCAGTATGATTGGTCCGCAAGAGCCACCCAACCCAGCTCCAGGTGGAAGTGAATCCACAACCTGATTGGCCTACAGGAGAATCCCGGAATTAGCCAATCATGTGCAGCCCATTGTGTAAATAATGTATATAAAGCAGATATTGTGGGGGAACTTCCATTCCTCCTCACCACTATGAGCTAAATAAAGAGCATGAAATCCACTCTCGACTCCGAGTATATTTCACCGTCAAAGAACTTAAGAGACAAGGAGAGGGGGAAGAAACAGAGGCAGGAAGAGGGCAACCATGTCAGATCACTAACTCCTCAATATTGTTGTAAACAAAATCTTCCCTTTTTCACTTATGGGGTATCCAAGAGCCTGTATAGAGTCCTTACGTGGGTTCCCTATTGGTAGGAGAAAATAACAGAGGCCAACCAGAGACTATTGAGAAGCAAAGCAACTAGTAAGCCTGATCTTTATTAAAGCTGTTGCAACAGAGTGCTCCCCTCACACGCAGGAAGGAGGAAGACCCAGAACAAAGGTGTGCCTGCCCTTATATAGACATTTTAAATTCCCTGCCCTGGAGCTCAAGACCATCCCTCCATACATCATACATACATCACAGAAAAGGTGGTCTACAACAGAAATTTGAATGTTGTTGTTTTTCCTGTCTGCCAGGTTATCTGATAATGCCTTATCTGATTGCCTTTCCTGGTAGTCTGGCCATTCCTTTGAAATGGTGATTACCCAGTTCCTGAGACAATGGGAAGGTTCCCTCACCCACTCCCTCCTTGCAAAGAAAACATTTGGTCAGTTTGGGAGTCAAAATAGGTTCAGGACGGTCTTCCTGTGCTGCTCCAGACATGTGGTTTATATATTTATGAATGTGTTTGCTTGGTACATTTATGAACATTTATTACATATCTAAGATCTTAAAATTCTTATAACAATATACAATTTATCTTCCAGATACATTGCCCATACAGGTGCCAGCTCTCACATCATATGGCACAAAGGTAACATAAACATCAGTGCAGGACATAGTTCTGGGAGAGGAGAAGCTAGTTTTGGTCTTTCAAATTTCAGCGGCGCCTTTCGTGTGGCCAAAATTTGTGTGGCCCACCTCTTCCCCTTCTGTTCTGCTGAATTCACTATGTCAGGGACGTCCAACAACCAATAGACTGCGATCTACTCACAAGATAAAAAAACTGGCAGTGATCTCACCAAAATTATGGAGCTTTTTTTTAGGAAGCCAAAGTTCTTGAGCTTTTTTTTTAGGAAGCCAAATTTTTTTTGCTTTTTGGTAAGAAGATCGCTGAGTGGCCAGAGATCAACCAGGATCTACCAGGAACACCCCCACGATCTACCAGTAGATGGCGATCTACCTGTTGGACATGCCTGCACTATGTCATAGTTGGCGCCCATTGCGGCAGAACCTGTTGTGCTGCCCTAAATTCACCTTGGTTGTTGGGCTTAGCCAGGGCAATGGAGGGGATGGGACTTCATATATTCACCTCTCCCTCTGCAGCAGCCAAGTAGAATGGCTCTTTATGGAGTTTGGGGAGAGGAGGAGCCAAATGGCACTTGATCCAACTAGGGAGTTGGTCTGTGCTGCCTCACGTGCCTCTCAAATGCAGCCAGAGGCATCCGACTGAGCAATATGGAGCACAGAAGGCTGGTCGTAACTGTGTGAACAGCCATCTCCTCCGGAATTTCTTTGTTGCCAGACAAGAAAACGAGCACAAGTCCTTGCTCATCCGAAAAAGAATCTTCTACATTTCTCTTGCTAGGCATCTAACCTTGCCAGCAGCAACCAGCAAGGAAACAGATTCAGACTTGCCAGGGATGGCTCTCAGCAGCATCTGAGAAGTGTGGAGTAGCCAAGGAGAGCCCTTAACTCCTACCTACCAGGACAAACGTTGGCTCCCTCGACCAGTAAAGCGAGATGAGCTCCGCAACCCCAGAGTCATTCATGACTGGACTAAACTGTCCGGGGTTCTTTACCTTTTCCTTCACCAGGATCCTGAGTCAGCATCTGCAGGAAAATTCAATTTCCCTGCCTTCACCCACTACCTTTTATAATAATACAGTGGTACCTTGGGTTACAGACGCTTCAGGTTACAGACTCTGCTAACCCAGAAATAGTACCTCAGGTTAAGAACTTTGCAGTGGCGTAGCATGGGGGGTGCAGGGGGGGCGGCCGCACCTGGCGCAACATCTGGGGGGGCGCGCTCGCACTCGCAGCTCTCTGCCCCTACCTTGAGTGCTAAAATCCACGGGTTAGGGGGCGCAAATTACTTGCCTTGCCCCGGGTGCCGACAACCCACGCTACGCCACTGGAACTTTGCTTCAGGATAAGAACAGAAATCGCGCAGTGGCGGCGTGGCGGCAGCGGGAGGACCCATTAGCTAATGTGGTACCTTAGGTTAAGAACAGGTTCAGGTTAAGAACGGACCTTCGGAACGAATTAAGTTCTTAACCCGAGGTACCACTGTAATGATGATCAGGGCCTTGCAGAGCCAGGCAGAGGCCTGGGCCAGGTAGATAATGTCCCCCCCCCCTTTTTTTTTTACCTTGGGGGTAACTGAAGTCTTATAAATAAGTAAGTATATAAATAATTTTCACAAAAGTTATGCTGACAAATAATTTTCAAGGCTTGAACCCCCGTTTTTACGCCTCCACATTCGCCCCAGTGCATCCCCTGCGATTGTGAATATGCTGACCAAGGCCCCCTTTGGAATCGGGGGCCTGGGCCAAGTGCCCATATGCCCCCCCCTGTCTGGGCCTGATGATGTTTATAATTTTTGTATGCCACCCATCTGACTGGGTTTCCCCAGCCACTCTGGAGAGCTTCCAGCAGAATATAAAAAACACAATAAAACATTATTATTATTATATCCCACCCATCTGGCTGGGTTTCCCCAGCCACTCTGGGCAGCTTACAGCATATATTAAAACATATCAAAACATCAAACATTAAAAACATCCCCAAACTTCTAAATCTTCTAAAAATCAGATAGTTGCTTATTTCCTTGACAACTGATGGGAGGGTGTTCCACAGAGTGGGTGCCACTACCGAGAACGCCCTCTGCCTGGTTCCCTTTAACCTCACTTCTCGCAATGAGGAAACTGCCAGAAGGCCCTTGGAGATGGACCTCAGTGTCTGGGCTGAACGATGGGGGTGGAGACGCTCCTTCAGGTATACAGGGCCAAAGCTGTTTAGGGCTTTATCAGCACCAACACTTTGAATTGTGCTCAGAAACGCACTGAGAGCCAATGTAGATCCTTTAAGGTCAGTGTTATATGGTCCTGAAGGCCACTCCCAGTCACCAGTCTAGCAGCCGCATTCTGGATTAGTTTTAGTTTCTGGGTCACCTTCAAAGGTAGCCCCACATAGAGTGGCTTGCAGTAGTCCAAGCGGGAGATAACCAGAGCATGCACCACTCTGGCGAGGCAGTCCGCGGGCAGGTAGGGTCTCAGCCTGCGTACCAGATGGAGCTGGTAGACAGCTGCCCTGGACACAGAATTGACCTGCGCCTCCATGGACAGCTGTGAGTCTAAAATGACTTCCAGGCTGCACACCTGATCCTTCAGGGGCACAGTTACCCCATTCAGGACCAATCATATATCACAATCATCTAAGATCTGTGGGTAGTCAAGTTAAAACTTTTGGTACACCTAGGTCTTGACTGGAGGGTTGTAATCTCTGCCTGCCCCTCCTTGGTGAAGGATATCTTGTTAAAGGGATCCAGGAAAAGTGACTGCTGTCCGACGCCCAGGTGGGGACTAGGGCCATAGCACTCCTGCAACAGGGACCCATCGGGGGTCCCCCTATTTGATGTTGGTCATAGGCCCCCCTCAAGCTGTAGTTTACCCTTAGATGCACTGTCGGCAGATGGGCTGGAGTGGAATAATTTGCGTGTTTGTGTTTTTTAAAATATTTTTTATTTATACTTTTAAGATATATACATTTCACTGATTTTACCACAATTTTGACATTTTAAAACTTGACTTCCCCCTCTTTCTGAGCTTCCTTAAATTTATTTTTAATATCTTCTGCATATCCAAATTCACTTAACTTACTCATTTATTTATCTTCTTTAAATATATACTCTTATGTAATTGCAGGTTATTACAATAATCCTCCCAGTGTTTTTATCTGTTTACAATTTATCTGCACATATTCAATAAACCATTTCCACTCTTTTATAAAAAGTTTATTATCTTGATTTCTTATTCTTCCAGTAAGTTTCACCATTTCTGCATATTCCATTGTATCCATTCTTCCTTTGCTGAGACTTCTTCTTCTTTCCATTTTTGGGCAAATAACATTATTGCCACTGTAGTAGCATACATGGATAAGTTTCTATACAATTTAGGTGGTTCTTTCCCTATAATTCCCAAGAGAAAGGCTTCTGGGGTTTTTTACAAATGTTATTTTGAACATCTTTTTCATTTCATTGTACATCATTTCCCAGTAAGCCTTAACCTTACTGCAAGACCACCACGTATGATAAAAGGAACCTTCTTACTCTTTCCAACACTTATTGGATTTAGTAGAGTGGAATAATTTGGCTTCACCCAGTGTCTGTGCCAAACCATTCATATCTGTAGCCATTAAAGTTGTGGCCTATTTGAACCTATAAATCTACATGCCGTTGTCTTGTCTGGTTATTCACTCCCAAGGGAACTGTGTGGTCACGGGGTCTTGACATGTCCCTATGTTCATCAGAGAAATGTTGGAAGCTATGTTCTTGTGTGTTTGTGAAAGGTGACATCATCATCATCATCATCATCGCCATATTTCAGAGGTTAGCTCTGAGAATGCTCATAAGTTGACTGCTGTCATCTGAGGAAGAAGAACTCTATTACTACTAATAATACATTTCCTGAAATTCTTGAAACACATGAAGAATGCCAAAATGCAAACTCCCGAACCTCCCTGAAGCCACCCAAATAATATTCTAGCTTAGACTGAGTAGCATCCTTTTCTAGCTGGCTAAGGTCATGCCTAATTAAAGTCGCGAGGAATCTCTGAGGACATTTGCCTTTTCACGACTTGCAAAGCCTAGCTATACTTAGCTTCCAACTTTCAGAGGCTTTTTGAAAGACTGCTTACCTGCAGACCCTAAGAGGACTAGATATCTAATTATAATTTCAAAATAAATGGTATTCCCCCTAGTGCAAGAATCAATCCGGCAGCAATTAAGATTTTGCTGGGGAAATAAAGCAGCGAAAGAATGGACCTGATGAGGAGACAGGCAGGCACAGGAAGAAACCTCTTGACAGGAGAGGAAGGAGGAGATTCCCCTCTGAGCAGATGCCTCAAAGTCCTGAAGAATAATCACGACTCAGGAGGAGCAATACTGCCCCAGTGTCAAGGTAGGTGGGTTGCCAAGGTAACAGCATCCCACCTTCCTTTGTGACATCTCTTGCTTCTGGCTTAAAAACCACCAACCACAGATATCCAGTGTGGGTTAGCCAGAGGGAGTCAGGAGGTGATGGAGAGGAGGAGAGATTAGAGAGTTCTATTTTTGTCTACTTTTTACTTCTTCTTTTTTCACTTCTGTATTTATTTTATTCTTTATTTTAGTCTTTATTTACTGCTTCTGTATTTATTTTAGTCTTTCTTTTATTTTTTGTTTTTTCCCAATGCAAACCTTCATTTATTTTGTGTACACTTTTCTTTTTATATACCTTGTGTGTATATTTTGTGTACGGTTGTTTTAGACAGAGATTTAGGATTGGGGGTAGAGGTAGGATTAGGGGTTGGGGTGAAGGTTAAGTGGGCATTCTAGGTCGATTTAGATACTGCAAAGCGGTCATCCAGGAGAAACTTCCAGCATGTTCAAAATGTAAGTAGGATTTCTACTGCTTCTCTTTATATCCTGGAGTGATGACTCGGACCCCGCTCCCTTGGGACTGTCTAAGTCAGTCACCCGACTCATTTGCTGAGTCCAGAAAAGATTGAGTGAGTAAAAATGAGTGGCAGGCAGTGGCACCGTCTTGTACCCAATATTGAGGGGGCCCAACGTTACACACACGCAACGTCACACGTGCAACGTGTGGCTCATGCACATCATCAACATTTTTATTATTTATTGAATTTATATACCTGCTGTTGAATAGTGGGTAGACATGGCAGACGACACAGCGATTTCTCCAAAGCAGCTCTTTATTTTGTAAGCTGGAACAGAACTGAACAGCAAACAGCTCAGCCGGCCTGCTTTTATAGGCAGCCGGCTGTCAACATTGTAGCAACAACAACCCAGGGTTTCCCGCCTAAAATAACTGACGTGGACCTGAGTGAAAACTGTCTACAGTATCCCCCTGCTGGCCCAGGGTGAGAACTTCAGTACATAACACCTGCCTATACCCGGAGGTCTCAGGGCGGTTCACAGATTAAAATCAAGATATAAAAGATATAAAACCACAAAATGCATAATAAAAATAAAAACAATAACCCAATAGCCCCCGCCAATAAAAACACATTTTAAAAGGGCATAGGATGTCAATCAGATCAACCAAAGACCTGGTTAAAAAGGAACGTTTTTGCCTGGCACCTAAAGGTGTGTAATGAAAGGGCCAAAGGCTTTCACATCTGGCTTCCTCGTTAGCCTGATAGGGAATTCTAACAGGCTCATCTCACCCCCGCACCTTAATGCATTTGTCATTTTGCTTAATATACTAAGAAAGATTACGATAATCCCTCGGGGGAGCTGGAGGGTTAGGGATCGGGAACAGAGTTGTTTTTATTTGGCAAGGCCGCTAAATCTCCAAACCAAGCCACTAGTCCTTATTACTACTCAGAGGAGGAGGACACAGATCGAATACCTGACTAAATTCTATTTTCTGAACAGTCGCTTTCCTTGTGAGAGGTGAACCCCAGCCTATACCATTTCCAGGCTGATGAGTGCACAGCTTAATGAATGCCACAAATCCTTATGATTGAATGAAATGCTTCTGATTATTTACATGTTTACTTTAATAAATATGGCTCTGATTAAACAACAGCTCCTGATTGTGAAGCCGAGATGGTTCGTCATTGGCATGCTGCTTTGAGAAAAATCTGTGCAGCTGCTTGTCGGTCCTATTTTTGGCTATACTGTGTGTGGGGAGCAGAGTAGCTGATCTGGCTATCTGCCTAGAAGGGGCCTTGCAGGTAAAGGAGTGGCTTGGAGGCCTTTAAGGAGTATGAATCATGGCGTGATAATAGAATCTCTTTCTGAATTTATTTTTAAAAAGCTTACAAAAGCACCACTTGCAAAAAAAACTAGAGCTACTGAAAGAAGCCATGCATAATATAAAACCAAATGAAATTCATCAAACTGGGAGCCCCTTTTTTCTCCTCCCCAACTGAAAAACTTAAAATTAAGCTGGATATTAAAATGCATCTTATTGCCACAGGCAGTTGTAGATCGTCATTTTGCATTCATAGCATTGCACAGACCAGCAAAGCCAGCAAACCCTGGGTACTGGAATGACTCTAGCAGTCCACGTTGGCCATTGGATCATTGAACCATGGTGGTGGTGCTTCTCAGAGAAAAATCTTGTTCCTTGCTAATTTGCATCTATGTAGGTCTTTGCCTGCATTCAAGTTTTGAAATGGCTCCTTGGGTATCACTGAGGGGATGGGGAGCTGTTACTGCACTGCAACTGTCAGGGAGCTGACAAGGAGAGCAGGTTGTTCACAGACCAGAGAAAGACAGTGAAACCGCTTGGCTAACTTGCAGCTAGTTTCTTTATGAAGGAAGCAGAACAAAGAACACATGGAGACTTCTAAGTGTTGCTCCTGTCTTGATGAAGCAGTTGCCCAGACTGCCCACTTCCCTCCCTAGCCCTCTGTGTCAGACCCATCTCTCTGTCTACGGCGAGTCCCAAGGGACCCTCTCTGTGTCCGCTTGGCTGTCTGATCAGTGACGTCCAATACAGTCATAGCTCATATTACGTTTGCTTCAGGTTGCGCGTTTTCAGGTTGCATCCCGCAGCAACCCGGAAGTAATGGAACGGGTTACTTCCGGGTTTCGCCGCTCGCGCATGCGCAGACGCACAAAATGAAGTCACACGCATGCGCAGAAGCTGCGAATGGCGACCCACGTGTGTGCAGATGCACAGGCGTGGGTTACGTTCTTTTCAGGCTGCAAATGGGCCTCCGGAATGGATCCCGTTCGCAACCAGAGGTACCATCAGGTAGATGCATTGTTCTGGGAGGGGGCTGCCTTGCAGGCTGTCAGCAGAGAAGCTGTCAGAGTGGCTCTGCCGTAGAGCTGCCAAGTCTGATTCCTGTCCCTGCCCTGTGCTGGGGCACTTGCCTGTTTCCTTCTCTTCATCATCCTTCAAGCTCCCTGCCTCCAGTAGTTCCCAGATCATCCCCTCCTTTGGGCTGTGGCCGGTTTCCCACCGCCAGGATCCAATTCCTCTCCCTCTGTGCTTCCCCTGGGGGACTCTTGGTCAGGCAGCTTCCACCACTCCTCCTCAGCCAGCCAGCCCCTGACATCAACTCCCAGCAGCCCACATAATATGACCCTATGGTCAGGGATGATGGGAGCTGTAGTCCAACAACAGATACCCCATCGTTGGCCTAAACTAAGAGCGCTAAAAGCAGTTTTGTGGTAGTAAAACAATTGGTTCATCTTCAAACTAAGTATGCAGCAGCACTGTCCATATTGAAATAGATCTGCACCAGCAAAGATTTGTTCAAAAGTCAGTGGTGTGAAGGAATACTTGCATGGTTTAACAAAAGCTGCTCGTTGGTCTTAGAATTTTAATTCTAAAGTCTCTCAGGTTTCCTTTACTGTTCAGCTAGTCAGCCTGAATATCTCTGTGACATCAGAGTAGTTAAGCCAATAGCAGTTAAAAGGACAATGACAGTGTTGTGTAAAAGCTGAGGAAACCGATGTTTATATATATGAAGATTCACAGCATTTGGAAACACTGGATGATGAGAATAGGGCCCCAAAATGGAACTCAAATAAAGGTCAGTTTTGCTCTTTAAACTAGGGGTGGGATGAAATTCTGTTCAGTTCACATCCTTCCCAAGCCACACTTCTCTGAGTTTTGCGATGCAATTCTCTAATAATAAAAAATATGTGTTCATAAAATGCATACATTTAGGAAAGTGTGCTGAACATGAGTGCATTCTAAAAAATTGCATTCTGTTAGGGAGATGTTGCTTGCCAAGATGTGTATGTGAGGCACAATTGCGTACAGAAATATTCACATCAGGAGAATATCTGCACTAAAGTGTTGACAATTTTTGTGAAGTCTTTCTTTTTTTAGTTAAAAACAAAACCAATGCAGAAAAGTAGCAAATGAAATTTAGCACTGAGAAACCAGGACTCAAAATAGATTCACCAATAATAATAATAATAATAATAACAATAATAATAATAATAATAATCCCCTCTGTGACAGGATTGATGGAGATAACTACTGCTAGCCCATAGTCTCAGACTTTTGCTGACATGGATATGTAGCTCTGTTAGAATCCCTGAGCAATTGTCTGGTACCCCCTCCAGGAGCAAAATTTCACCAAGAAAGTGGCATCTATGGGCAGGAAGAAAACAAGACCTTCCGAATTTCTGTTCAAGGTAAAGGGGAAAGGCCTGGTTTTTTTAACAGCGGCAACTTGGTTTTAGCAGCTTACAGAGACGAGGAGAAGAGTGGGCATTTTCATCGCTCCAAATCCATAGGGCATTGGTAGAAAAGTTAGCAGTTGTGAAGCGGCAAACAGCTGCATGGATGGGTATTCAGGAAGGATGATTCAGTGTGACCAGGCAGGGGCGAGAGCTGTGTGAGTAGGACTGGGTACGCACAAGTGGTTGTGGGTGGTTATGACTGAGTATCACCACAGAGGAGCAAATTAGAATGATGTGTCAGAGCAAAAGAAAAGAGACTGGGTGTTATTCGGCAGCAGTTGACTCCTGTGGAGATAGGTACTTGACCCGGCACAGAGACACAAAAGCAGATTTTTAAAATCGAAACCATCATCCAGATTTTTTATGATGTTATTTCCCCATATGTTCTAACCATCGCTCATTATCAAGTGCAGTCCCTATTTTCTGGTTCCTGTCCTTGCTGAATCACTTGCACATAAGAAAGAGACCCGTCAGGTAAGCTCAAAGGCCCGTCTAAGTCCAACTTCCAGTCCTCACAGATGCCTAGGGGAAGCCCACAAACAGATGTTCCTTTCTTCATCAGAGACAGTACTTTTTAATTTTTTTAAAAAAGGTTTAGGGGTACTCTCATTTTGACTCAAGAAAATCACCATTTTATAGTTCAAATCGGGGGAAATAAATACAGTAAATGGACCAAAGTATAAAGAACATGCTACAAAAGAGGCTTCTGGTGAGACCAGAAGGACATTGCTATGCATGACAACAAATCCTAATTATTGGATTCTTTTGCCCCATCTTTTTGTGCCTGTCAAACAGCCGTGTCATGATAATATTTTATTCTCTTGTTAATTATGCTGTTTTAAATGTGCATTTTATAGTTTGACTTCACTTAGCAATGTTTTTTTAAAAAATTGTTTAAGATGTTTGTTGTTGCTAACTTTGTTTGTGTTAAGTATGCATTCTGTAGCTGACCTCCTTTGTAATGTTTTATTTTGAAATTTAGGTTAATATTTTAGTTTTCTGTTAATTATATCACTTTGACTGTATACCCTATATTTGACTTTCTTCTTTGATTCAAGATTGCTTTATTGATGTTTTAATAAGTTGTAAACCGCTTTGAGATTTTTCTTAAAAATATAAAGCGGTATAGAAATGTAATAAATAAATAATAATAAATAAATAAGTTACCTCCACATTGCACACTGCTCCGCACATTAAACACTCACTTCCATCTGAGACTCAGGAAACACCGGGAAATGAAGGAAATGAAGCCGCCATCAGAGATGGTAACAATGAAACTGACCAATCACTGTGCTAGATTCTAATTCCTACTTCACACATTAAATGCTCGCTTCCATCTGAGACTCAGGAAACACTGTGACAGGAAATGAGACCGCCATCGGGGGCAGCAACAGGACTGACGATTCACCACGCTATTCAACGGAACTGATGATTCACTGTGCTAGAGAAGAAACTTTTAAAAAATAATAATAGTTGCTTCTCCCGTTAGATTCACAAAATGCTTACGTCCCCCCAGAAAAAGCACTGATCAGAGAAATGTTGGGGGGACACACCTCTATTTTCATTGAAGAAATGTTGGAGGGTATGGAATAGGGTGTCCCTATTTTCATTGGGAAAGTGTTGGAGTGTATGTTCTTCTTTGGTGGAGGCCTGGTGCCATTTTCTTATTTCGCCTCAGGTTCCAAAATGCCTTGGGCCAGCCCTGTCTGTGGACCAGTTGTAGTTTCAAACATCTGGAGGGCATCAGGTTCCCAGACTACAACTCCCATCATCCCACAGGCCATACTTGACTGGGGCTGATGGGACTTGGAGTCCAAAGCTTCTGAAGGGCACCTGGTGAGGGATATTTGCTTTTATTATCAATATCTTTGTGACTTGAATGAGAACAAAAACACATTTGGCCTTGCAGAGGCTTTCTGAGGGAGAAGAACAACAATGCCACAGTGGGAGGCCTGGCCTGTGAGCGCCTCTGACAAAAACAACACCTAGGCTTACATCGGGAAATCAAAGCTTTTGTGAAAAGGATTTTTTTAAAAAAATTAAAAACCCACATCCGAGGCGAGCAGGCATCGCTTTGGCCCTAGTCCTGCTTACTCACAGGATACATCACAACTTGGAATGAAAACGGGGGCTGTAAACGCTGAGCCTCTGCCGCATTTTAAATAGCTTTGTTCCAGATTGAGCGATCATTGTAATTAAAGTGAAGCCGACTGTCACCCAAATTGAAGCTACCAAATTGCAGGTCTGAGAGGTGATGCAGAAGCAGGTATCCAACTGCCTGGCAATCCATTTATTATTATTTTTTTAAATGATAGTTATTGGGAAAAAAAATTAGAATTACAAAAAAAAAACAAAGTAGAAAAAGAGAAAGAAAAAACAAACCACATCAAACAATACAAATTAATCAAAATCAAAATCAAAAAATAGCACAACACGATCAAAAGACAAAAATATACCACAAACATTTAAAAACAAATCCATTATTCTCAAATCCTTAACTGTCATTACCTTCTTTCTTTGACCTCCTCCTCCTCCCTTTTTTTGTATCCTAATTGTTAATTGTTGCAGCAAATCCTTTCCATGTTTCATAATATTCTGTCGTTACATTACCTTAATCTATTTTAATCTTATCTTACTATAAAAAACCTTAAAACCTAAAACGTAATCTTATTTTTACCAACTTCTCATAACCATAATATTCTTACATAATTCTTTAAACATTTTTGCTAAAGCCAAATAATTTAATAATTTCGTTCCAACATTTTTCTAACATTCATCAATTTTATAAAACAATCCTAATAATAAAAAAGAAATAAAAAAAAACCATCCAATCTTCATCCAGCGTCTCTTCCTCCTGGTCCCGGGTTTTGTCAGTCCTTTTTATCTCATCAATCTAGCGCATTAACCTGGTAATCATATATCCGAGGCCCTTAAGTCCCTTCCATGTCCCTTCCACGGCTCTTCTTCATATTTATAACTGTATTTTCCTTTGTCTCCTGCTCCTTTCACTCGTGGGAGCTCCAGCTTAGCAATGTTTTTGACCCTTCTCGACAAATCAGCCACTTTTCCATAGTCCACACTAAACTCCATGTGGTATTTAAGAACATGTTTCAAAGTCTCTCCAAAATTAAGAGCCCTCACAACCCCAAACATCTCACGGCCCATTGCCAGACTTGAAAAGTCCAAACATCCCTGCATAGGGGGGTCTATCCAACCCCCCATTTCCAAACCAAACCAAACTTTATCTTTCCAAATCTGGCTTTTTCCAAGTTCATTTGTCAAATCCAAGAGCTCATGTTCCTGCTGGGCCACAGCTCCCTCCATCTCTGGCGCCCAAGATTCAGCAACATCCTCTTCCCTCATCTGTTCTGTCAGGGCACATTCCTGATTTAATTCCTGAGTGGGCTCCATATAATTTCCCACTGCCTGTTCAAAATTTTTGATTGCATCAGTCATCAAGTCCGTCTTCTCATGTAGCTGTTCCAGTAGGGCACTTCTTTTACAGAGAGCACACAGCAGAGCTTCTGAGTACATTGTCCTGCAAGGTCCGAAGTCTATTCCCACGATCGTAATCTGTAACAGCTGCAAGCTCCCCGATTCAGAATTAGTTACAGTTTCACAGGCTCCCTATAGGGGAAAAACTTCTATTTGTTCTTTTCTTTTAAAGACAAATCTAACAACAAACTTTCCTTTTTCAGATATTTTGTCAATATTTGTTCCTTTAAAATGCGAAGGGGAACAATGGAATCACTATGTTTCTCTTCTTTTAGCTATCTGTCAGAAACGTTTGTCTCTGGTCAATGAGCTTCAAAAAACATCAGTCCTGACACCCCGCTCCAGGATCAAGACAGTGGAAAGTTACTTTACTTTACACTCACTTCTGCAGGTTTAAACAGTCCAGAAAAAATCCCCCCTCTTCTCCTGCTTCCGAAGGGGGTTCAACAATCTTAAATGATGAAAGTTAGTCCTTTACAAGCGATTTTCTGAGCTCTAGTTTGCCATGTCTTTGCTTTAATCTATCTTCAAAGAAACGGAAGGCTGACTTCCTGTTTAGACCTTCCCGTTTCAGTGCCAAATTGAAATAAACTTTTAAGTCCAATTTTCCTTTCTGCACGCAAGTCCTTATTTAGAGTCCAATTGTCCGAAATTTAAGTACTCACGGGTGATTGTTTTAGAAGCCAAATTGTCCCAGGAAAAAGGCAGCGCTCTCCGGCAACGGCTGTGTGGCTTCGCTCCACGGAAGAAGCAGTTGACTCTCAGCACCGCACCACTTCCCCCTCTTCGCTCCGGAGCCCGTTAGTGGGTTCCTTTGCGGGTTGGGGGGGCGCTAAAGGTGCCCGCCAAGTCCCATGGTCACAGGCTTCATCAGCCTGTGATTTTTGAAAGGGTCCCCGCTTCGCCGTAGCGGGAAAGACCCGTTTCCCGTGGAGCTGGTCCCTCCAAATCAGAGGGAATCCGCCATTACCGATGGCGCCACCCTGGAAGTCCCTGCCTGGCAATCCAAAGGCATAAATGAAACTTTCGAGTTTGCATCAGTTGAGAGCGTCGTCAGGTTGGAATCCGCACAAGAAACGGAAGTGGAGAGGTTCCTGGTAAACTGGGCACGTCCATTTTAAAAAAAGAAGCCCAAGAGGCCCAGTGGTTTAGACCACAGTGCCTCTCGCTCCCTTTACCTGCCAATCAGTATACACAGTGAACAGGTAAACAGAGCAGTGATCTGATTCAGGATAAAACAGCTTCCTAAACTCAGAAGGCCTTTTTGTGTGTACCTAATTTAGTTGCATTTCCTAATGCAATTATCTCATTAATGCACATGACTAAATTAGGACCTGTTGCCTTTGTCCATGGAGTTTTCTTGGCAGGGATACTGGAGTGGCTTGCCGGTTCCTCCTCCAGCAATGACAAACCTAGACAGCATCTTAAAAAGTAGAGACATCACCTTGCCAACAAAGGTCCGTATAGTTAAAGCTATGATTTTCCCAGTAGTGATGTATGGAAGTGAGAGCTGGACCATAAAGAAGGCTGATCGCCGAAGAATTGATGCTTTTGAATTATGGTGCTGGAGGAGACTCTTGAGAGTACCATGGACTGCAAGAAGATCAAACCTATCCATTCTGAAGGAAATCAGCCCTGAGTGCTCACTGGAAGGACAGATCCTGAAGCTGAGGCTCCAAGACTTTGGCCACCTCATGAGAAGAGAAGACTCCCTGGAAAAGACCCTGATGTTGGGAAAGATGGAGGGCACAAGGAGAAGGGGACGACAGAGGGCGGATGGTTGGATAGTGTTCTCGAAGCTACCAGCATGAGTTTGACCAAACTGTGGGAGGCAGTGGAAGACAGGGGTGCCTGGCGTGCTCTGGTCCATGGGGTCACGAAGAGTCGGACATGACTAAACGACTAAACAACAACAACAAATTAGGACCATGAATTTCAGTGGGTTTACTCTGAGTAAAACCATTCTTCTCCTCATATACTCTTGTATATATGCCCGTTTCCACTGTTCTGGTTAGAATCTGATAGTTGTGAGCATTTCCCCACTAAGAAGGCATTTTATATAGATTTCTATGGAATAGTCAGTTCCAAAACGAACACGGCTATTTATGACAACCAGATCGTAAGCATTTCTTACCACCTACAGCTTTAATCTGTTTATTATACATGCTGTGCTTTTTCGTGTTAATAGGGAGAGTGAGCATCGCTGCGGCTAATAGTCAACTCAGTTGGTGAGTGTTAACAGCACTGCAGCCAACATGAGGCCAGTGGAAAACAAGGAGATGTTTGCGTACTCAGAGGAAGCTTAGTTTGCAGAAGTACAAGAGGTAGTTAAACATCTCAAAATAGTACAAAAAAGCGGAAACCCAGCCAGATGGGTGGGGTAATAATAATAATAATAATAATAGTTGTTGTTGTTATCCAATGCTCAGTAGCCATGGAATATTGAATGTGAATTGGAAAAGAAAATGTATGTTGTGTTGGGGAAAAGAAAACAACTGGAATGCCTTGCTTCAGCCCCTACAGGTTATATTATCCTGAGGGGTAAGGATGGGAAAATCTGTCAATTTTGGTTCTCTCAGCTTTTCTCCAACCTCAGATTCAGTCCTCTACATTTCTGCAGCAATTTGCAATTTTTAAAAACAATCCTTATAAAATTCTTCAATGTTTTAGAGTGAATTTCTTCTCATAAACACATTTATATTTATGTGTGTGTGTGTGTGTGTGTGTGTGTGTGTGTGTGTGTGTTTATGAGAAGAAATTCTGCTTTTCTGTATGTTATTTTCACAAATACATATTTGGTTTTTAGGCACACTTTCTCCTAAAACATGCATTTTTGCGAACACTGGCTGGAGAATTCTGCACCAGAAAATTCAGAGAAGTGCAAATTTCGAAGCCTGGCTGCGTTTTAGTTCGCATATTGTTTCGGAAAGCACAAATCTGATGGATTCAGCTTTAAATGCACACTGAATCACATCTCTCCCCCTAAGGAGGATATAGTTGGCTAGCTTAAACCCAGAATGAGCACCCATGTTGTCGGGTGATGATACACGCCATTATTTCGTTGCAGGTCCAGCTTGTCAAATACTAAGTACTCACAATCACAAAACCTATGTACTTTTGTAGGTCTGATCCTGCCCAACAGAGGGTGTCCTTACACGTATTTTCTTTCCTTGGTGTATATAAAAAGAGCAGGCACACTGACCGCATTCTTGTTCCTAATCCTCATCCAGGATAAGATTCCTGGGAAACTGATTTTGCCAGTGTGCTGCAGGAGTTGTTTTGTTTGCCCAGTGCTGATTGGCTGGTAGTTGTGATGTCACAATCCCCATTGTTCCCACAAACAACCTGCAAGCTATTTTGAAGGAATTCATTCCTGTGTGTGCTTTAAAAAGAGAAAGAACGAACTTTCCCTTGCTTGAACGTACAAATATACTTTCGGCTTGAAGCTTGAAGCATTGGGGGGGGGGCAGCAAAGCACATTGTTGATGTTTGATGCTTTATTATTTTTATGTGTGTTGGAAGCTGCCCAGAGTGGCTGCGGCAACCCAGCCAGATGGGCGGGGTGCAAATAAAAATATATTATTATATATATTATTATTATTATTTCAGAAAGGATTGTCTCCCAGCCCGACGTGGAAATGTCAAGAATTCGAATCTGGGACCATCTTCGTGAAAAGTAGGTGCTCTTCAACGAAGCAGTGGTCCTTTCTCAAAGTCAGAAACCTTCCTAAGGGGAAACGCTCAATAATGTTGGGAGCTGGGAGATGCCAAACCCCTTTAATCCCTGGATCCAGCAAGTGTTAAAAGATAAGCCTGCTAATTCTGGGAAATAGTCAAGCTAGGCTTTGGGGGGGGGGGGTTATTAGGTTGTTTTTGTTTTGATTATGTATTTTGTGTTTTTTACGCTGTGATTTTTATCCTGTGAATTGCCTTGAGATCTGCGGGTATAGGGTAGTATACAAATGTTAATAATTTTAATAATAATAATAATAATAATAATAGACTGAAGAAATGCACTTCTGCTTTTAAGAGGGGTTTTTTTAGTTTTTCATTACGAAATTGTCAAAGTAAATGTTCTGTCAGTCAGCAAATGTTACCTCTGTATAAACCCTTACCTTCAGTTATTACATTGATATACATTTTTTAAAATATATATATACATTTTATTTTAAATATATACATTTTATTTAAAAAATATACATTTTATTTTAAATATATACATTTTATTTTAAATATATACATTTTATTTAAAAATATACATTTTATTTTAAATAGATACATTTTATTTTAAATATATACATTTTATTTAAAAAATATACATTTTATTTTAAATATATACATTTTATTTAAAAAATATAAAGAGCCTGATCCAGGCCATGTGAAGCATTTCCCCAAGGCTATACCTGCCAGGAAAGTGGGTTAGGTTTGCATTTCAATGCAACCCTACCTAATGTGCACTTTGTCAGCAAAGGTTGCTAGGCTCTTAGCCGGAGCAATTAAAATAAGATCCATTGTCTGACCATTGACTCAGGACCCTAAACTGCGTTTTTATATTTAATTCCCATTTTCTTCCGTGTATATTGTAATGTTCTCTTGTTTCTATGGCCATTGGCTGAGGCGAATAAAGTTTCTATTGATTGCATTTTGTCAAACAAGACATTAAGCAAAACACAGCTACCATTAGGAATTTACACTTCTCAAAATTTTGCAAGAGAAGCTATCCACCCCCCAAAAAAATGTGTACAAAGGTGCGTTTATTAGGGGGAAGTGTGCATTAAAATGCATACGTGGGAAAAATAACCTGCAAAGATACATTATATTAAGGAAATTTGTTTGCAAAGGAAGTGTATTAAGCAAAATTGAATAAAAAAAATGTATTTTAGGAGAAATGTGCCATGAAATGCAATATTTTGTGCGACTCTTTTTTTAAACTGCAAACTGATGCAGAAATATGATGCAGAAACTGATTTTAAGATTGGAATAATTAGAAATGGCAAGAAACTGAGATTGAACTTTGTCTTCAACATGAGACAAAGTGCATAAGATTCCTCTTTAAGTTCTACTTATCTGAGCAAGAGTTTGACTATCCTATTGAAAATGATGAGCCTTAACAGTGCTTAGCCTTGGCTGAATCATGCCCTAAATCTCATAAATCTAGAGAAGGATTTGGTTTGATTTACTGCGTTTGAGCTTCTTTAACAACAGCTCAAAGCATCCCAACAATAGCAAAACAGGAAAAAGGTATTAATTGCATTTTGCTCAAAATATCTGTAGGAATTCAAGGTTCAGTGGAACACAGAAGCACATTTCCTCCCCTCAGAGATATCCTGGGCTCTTTTTTAAATCTTCATCTTTCATCCCTTTTCTTTCTTTTTTTAAAAAAGACTCTAGTCCTCTTCCATAAGGAAATATAAGGGAGTAAACAGTGCTGGATTTACGTATAAGCTAAACAAGCTATAGCTTAGGGCCCCACTCTCTTGGGGGCCCCAAAAAAATCTAAAGGGAAAAAACCTGATGTACTTTGATAAAATACATATTTTGTTATGTGCAAATGGCTTTAGATACCTATTAGGTCCATAAATTACCATATAGCATATATTCAACACAAAACCAGTGACAATTTGTTGTTGACAAAGGACAGCTGGACATATAAAGGGCCCCATCACCTTCAGTAGCTTAGGGCCTCATCAAACCTAAATCTGGCCCTGGGAGTAACATACTTTTCTCTATTCCAAAGTAAAAAAAAAGGGGGGGAAGTAAGCCAAATCTCCCCACATCCTGGTGTTCTGGCCAAGGTACTAGGGTGAGAGAGAGAGATAAATGTCGAAACTACGGAACTAAATACAATATCAATAAAACCCATCTGACTGGGTTGCCCTAGCTACTCTGGGTGGCATTCAACATAATAAAACACAGCAAAGCATTAAACATTAAAAAGATTTCAGGTGCATATTGGAAGAATCTGTTCTTCCATTGCTGTCCCTTCTGCAGGCAAACCGGCATCATATTGTTTTGCCCATTTTCAGATGCGCCTACTTAGGATTTTGCTCTTTGATTCAACTCACCCTGCATGTATTCTGAAGTTCTTCCACCAAACCAATTCCTGATTAGGTCTGCAGAGGCTCTTGGCTACTGACCAGCAAAGAACTTTGATTACTATGAACTGATTAGTTTCCATTAGTTTACGGGTTGTAATGTATTGTTTTACGTCAAGTTCGCAGTTTTTTTCGCTTTAAAAAAAAGAAGAAGCTATACAAGACCATTTTCAAGTTCTCTTGATTGTTATATATATATATACTGTTAAGCATAAGAACATCTCTATTGTTTCTCTACCAATAGGGTTGTCTGTCGTGAACATGTGTGCAATAATGATAAAAAGGTCTATTTTCTGTTCTGTTTGCACATGAACTTAAAAGATAGGACTTATATTATATTATATTATATTAGTTGCAATTTCCCCAGAAACCCCCCAAGTAGCCTGAAAAAAATAACCCTTCCAGCATTTTAACAATTTTTACATTCTTAGCGGTGCCCCAGAAAATCTTAAAGCTACAATAAGAACATTTCTGTGTCATAGGGGCAGGGCCCAGGAACTGGCATAGTACCACATCTTTTTGCAGTGAGTAATCTCAGGTGTTACTTCCAGGGTAGGTTTGTACAGACAAGTGGGTATAACATGTTGTTCCCCACCGGAAGCAATGAGTGATGGGCTTTAATGGTGAGAAGGGAACAGATAGAAAACATCAAGTACAATATTGACTGGGAAAAGAATCCCATCCATGTAAATTTCGCCTGGGGCTCTGCAGTGAAAATCTTGGCATTGGGCCCCCTTGGTAGAAATGAACTATTCCCATGACTTTGGTTATTGTGGACTGAGGCTTTCTACTGTTTTCTTTTGCAGTTTAGAACCAGATATTAATGATGTGGTAATGGAATTTTCTTAGATACAAAAATTATTCTACAGTTGCTTCAGGCACCAGCTCTCTCCTCCTGGTTCTCGGCTCTGAACAACTTGTTGCAAACAATGACTCTCTCTCCAGACAGGTGTAGTTTGACTCTTAAAAGCCAAATGCACTTAAACACCTGGTTGTTTTCCTTTTTATCTGCTGCTTTTATGGCTGCACTTTTCAAGGATTGCCGGTTTGTTTTCTGTATTCCATTTATCTTCATTTTTGTTCTTATGAGTTCCCTCGAGCTTAGCGAGGAGGCAGGATATAAATGAATGGATGAATAATGCCGCGATCCACTGAAGCTGCGTTTGGCTAACCTGAGGCCTTCCTGGTGTGCTTGGATTCCTGCTGCCATCACCCCCAGCCAGCATAGCCAATGATTGGGGGAGCTGTAGTCTGGAAACATCTGAAGGGCCACAGGTTCTCCACCTCTGAGCGAAATGATTTTTGCCCCATGGGTTTCGGAATGGGAGAGTGCTTAACTTTCCTTCTGAAGTCAGTGGGGGGCTGATGTTTTGATTTGACTGAGTGGAACAAACAAAGAAAGCAATTAAACGGGGGGGGGGACCCTGTCAACACACCCACGTACCTCATTTTTGTCGAGATCTTGCATTTCTTGATCACATGGCTCGCTGTTCAACGACGGCCTTTCCCCCCCTGAAAAACAAATGGAGATCAGCTTGTTTTGAGCTGCATGTTTGCCGCGCCTCAGAAGAGCATCGCACATAAATGCCGGGAGATTTCTTTTTAAATGAGCTTTTTTAAAACAAAAAAAACCCCAGAAAACAAAAAAAAAACAAGCTCTCCATCTGAAACTCCATCTGAAAATCATTTGACTATTATAGCCATTTCACTAACTACTTAATTACAGCCATCTATCTACGTCTGTCTCACCCTGACACCCACAGATGCATCCGCCCACAGAGATCTACCCACGCAAACCTCCTCTGTGACTCATGTGACGAATGGTTGTCAAAAAGAAAAGGGAAAACAGAGGAAAGAAAGAAATCCCCCACTCCCTGCCAAACGCAAACACTTTCTTCAAACGTATGCTGTTTCCTTTTTATCTCTTTCCGTGTGTTTCTGTGAGTCATCCGATCGGTCTCTGATCTAAACCCAGGAGACGAGAACCTACATGTACGAGGCAATTACGTGCATTTGGCTTAGATTATTGGTGGTTGTGCAGCCACCTTAGAAAACGCAAGCAGCTAATATTCTGAAATTCTCACTCCACCCCCATCGAAAGCATAGTAGCCTTTAAGAAGTGCCGTTTTTACTCTGGAAGATTGTGACGAAAATATCGGGGTGAGAACTGCCATGAAGCAAGAAAATCTGAAATATAGGTGCACTCGCTCTATACACACACAGATCTCAATAATTACTAGTATTTAAGAACATAAGAACACAATAAGAACTTGCTGGATCAAGTCCATGTCTCAACTTGTCCAGCATTTTGTTCTCACAGTGGCTGACCAAGAACAGCCTTAAAGGTAAAGGTAAAGGGACCCCTGACCATTAGGTCCAGTCATGACCGACTCTGGGGTTGCGGCGCTCATCTGGCTTTATTGGCCGAGGGAGCCGGCGTACAGTTTCTGGGTCATGTGGCCAGCATGACTAAGCCGCTTCTGGCGAACCAGAGCAGCGCACGGAAATGCTGTTTACCTTCCCTATTTATCTACTTGCACTTTGACATGCTTTCGTACTGCTAGGTTGGCAGGAGCAGGGACTGAGCAACGGGAGCTCAACGGGAGCTCATCATGGGGATTCAAACCGCCAACCTTCTGATTGGCAAATCCTAGGCTCTGTGGTTTAACTCACAGCGCCACCGGTGTCCCACAAGAACAGCCTTATACTCCGTAAATTTGTCCAATTCTCTCTTAAAGCCATCCGAATTCGAGTGGTCAGGGCAACTCAGTCAGATGTGCAGGGCACAATAATCGTCGTCGTCGTCATCATCATCATCATCATGAAGGTGACTTACAACATCCCAGTCGTAAGCAGTTTTACGGGGAAAAAGCAAGTTCCATTAAACCAATATATTACACTGTACTTTTTCCTTTCTCTTTCCCCACTCCTTTTCCCCACTTTTTAAAATTCCTCTCATTTATCACATTATTTCTTTATAAATGAAAATCTTTCAATAAAATATCAATTAAAAAAACCCTGAATGGGATACATGTGAGTTAATATATACATATATCATTAGAATCGCAGTGTTTAGAATGCACAGTGGTACCTCTAGTTACGAACTTAATTTGTTTCAGATGTCCGTTCTTAACCTGAAACTGTTCTTAACTAGAGGCGTGCTTTCGCTAATGGGGCCTCTTGCTGCCGCTGCGCCGCCAGCACACGATTTCCGTTCTCATCCTGGGGCAAAGTTCTCAACTCGAGGTAACTCTTCCAGGTTAGCGGAGCTTGTAACCTGAAGCGTTTGTAACCTGAGGCGTTTGTAACTCAAGGTACCACTGTACTGGCTTAGTACTTTTAATCAGGCGTAATTTTCTGGCTTGAAACCCAAGTGGGATTTAAGAATGATGCAATTGTACTGTCAACAGTACATGGTCACTTTGTTGAGTAAGCTTGGGCAATTTTTAAATTCATCAAATGGATTGAGGGCCACCAGCCAGGGATGGCGGCCCCACCAGTCTTGAGACCAGTCAGTTTTTCTGCCAGCCTGTGAATGCAAAACAAAATTTAAAAGGGTGTGCCAAGGAGTTTCGAGCATTAGGAAGTCACAGAACAAGCCTGTCTGCTGCATTCATTGTGTGCCTCAACTCACAGGTCACAAGTTCTGCAGACCTGCTGTCCAGGCCCACTCACAACACCTAGCAGAGATGGAGGCACGCAGGTCCATACCACCTGCTTGGTCCAATAAGGCTCTTTTTTTGGAAAACCTAGAACAACAGTTGCCTGCTAAACACATGCCTGTTAAAAAATATAACGGGTCAAGCAGCCTTGAGAAATTAAAAACACCATGACAGGTCCAAATCTGCAGGCTAACAAGCTATTCTGCAACTGCAGAAGTGGGAGGATGAAAAGAGAGAATAATTTTGGCAATGGGGCCAGTTAGCATCCAGTCATGATGTACTCAAGGAACTTAAAAACAGAAAGTGTAATGCTAGTAAAGGACCCCTGACCATTAGGTCCAGTCGTGACCGACTCTGGGGTTGCGGCGCTCATCTCGCTTTACTAGCCGAGGGAGCCGGTGTACAGCTTCCAGGTCATGTGGCCAGCATGACTAAGCCGCTTCTGGAGAACCAGAGCAGCGCACGGAAACGCTGTTTACCTTCCCGCTGGAGCGGTACCTATTTATCTACTTGCACTTGGATGTGCTTTCGAACTGCTAGGCTGGCAGGAGCAGGGACCGAGCAATGGGAGCTCACCCCGTCATGGGGATTCGAACCGCCGACCTTCTGATCAGCAAGTCCTAGGCTCTGTGGTTTAACCCACAGCGCCACCTGCGCCCAAGCATAATGCTGGTGGTCAACAAAAGAGGTTTAAAGACTCTCTTGAGGCAAATCTTTAAAAATGTAGTATAAACACCGACAACTGGGAAACACTGGCCTGCGAGCGCTCCAGTTGGAGAACAGCCTTTACCAAAGGTGTCATGGGCTTTGAAGATGCTCGAACTCAGGACGCAAGGGAGAAACGTGCTAAGAGAAAGGCACACTTGGCAAACCCTCACCATGATCAACTCCCACCTGGAAACCTATGTCCCCACTGTAGAAGGACGTGTGGATCCAGAATCGGCCTCCACAGTCACTTACGGACTCACTGTTAAAACTGTGTTTATGGGAGACAATCTTACTCGGCTAGGAGTGATCGCCAAAGAAGAAAAAAGGCTCAAGGCTTTGAGTACAAGTCAAGTAGTTATGGATTTAAAGTTATGTGCGCCATGAGTTCAGTCTTCTCTGCTATGCTGAAATGCATTGCTTTTCTGTTTTAATTACAGATAAATGTGCAGATATTCTCCTGCATTATCATATGCAAATATTGTGCAGATCTCTGCCCTCTGTAGTGCTGTACGTGTGTGGCATTTATTTTTATTTATTTTTTGACAATGCATCAGCTTAGCTAGCTTGCTTCCATTTGTCAGGACTGCCAGGATGAGTCCATCCTACTTGCACCTCCGCCAACCTCGTATACACTTTCCCCAAGGAGTAAGTCCCATTCAACTAAACAGGACTTACTTCTGGGCATAGGAATGCCCTGTAGGTTTGCTAAGTGCCTAGCATTACACAGTGTTGATGTACTTGATTTATGACCTCATTTATGAATGGGAAATAAGAGGTACCAGCTGGAGGTATCCACACTGCCACTGAATCATTTTCAAAATAATAAGTGTTAGGAGAATCAATAAAAACAACCGAAATTAGACACTTGAAGGCAGGGCCTCCTTTTGCTCCAACAAAAAGAGATGGCAAATGTCTCACTGGTCTCTAAATAGGCTTGGCATCTCCTGCTGGATTCATGTATCAGATGTGGAACTCATATGATAAAAGAAATTAAACAGGGCCAGATTAACTGCTAGGCTAATGACCACTACATTCGCAAAGTGATTCCTAGCCACTGCCCCATAAGATCAGATGCACTCATTTCAGTACATGCAATCTCCCCAAATGCACATGTTCACCCTAAACTCACTCTCACTACTTCCCCTTCTGCATGGCAGATGACTGGTGCAGATGAGAGTCATCTGCGGAACCTACGTGATTCAGGCTCCATATACACTACGTATACACGGAAAGCACATTCAAAGCACGTTCTTTTCCATAAAGCATTCTGAGCACTGAAATTTACCCCGCAGAGAGTTACAATTCCCAGCAACTCTGTAACAAACCAAAGAACAACGTCACCTAGCAATGCCATTTCAGATTAAAGCTGGCTGGGGTGGGTGGGAGTGGGGATTTTATTAATTAATTAAAAGATTGGTAACCAGCCTTCTGACTAAAACTTTCCAAGGTGACTAATAAGACATCATATAATGAACCATGTAAACATACTTCAAGGACCGCCTCTTTCCATATGAACCTACCCGGACCCTGAGATCAACTTCTGAGCCCCTTCTTAACGTGCCTCCTCCACGAGAGGTTCAGAGGGTGACAACACGAGAACGGGCCTTTTTTGCAGTGGCTCCCTGTCTGTGAAATGCTCTCCCCAGGGAAGTTCACTTGGTGCCTTCATTATACACCTTTAGGCGCCAGGCAAAAACATTCCTCTTTAACCAGGCCTTTGGCTGATTGACATCCAATACCCTTTTAAAATGTGTGTGTGTGTGTGTGTGTGTGTGTGTGTGTGTGTGTAGGGTGTTATTGGGTTGTTTTTGTTTTGATTATGTATTTTGTGTTTGGATATTGTGATTTTATCTTGTGACTCACCTTGAGACCTGTAGGTATAGGGCAGTATACAAATTTAAAGAAGAAGAAGAAGAAGAAGAAGAAGAAGAAGAAGAAGAAGAAGAAGAAGAAGAAGCAGCAGCAGCAGCAGCAGCAGCAGCAGCAGCAGACTGGATTCTTAAAATGTCTGCTACACTGGTCATAGCACCAGAAGTAAGACGAGGCGCTGTTCCAAGCAACCCAAAAGCACCCAATGCCATAAAAGAAGGAGCCATATAAATGTCCCTAGGTGCCACCACCGAGAAGGTCCTGTTTTGTATCACCACCTAGTATAATTCAGACAGTGAGGCACAAGAAGCAGGGCCATGGAAGAAGATATCCCTATATGCCGTTGCACACCACCCTAATTTCCGAGCGGTGCAAGATTCCAGGGGTTCCAGGCACGGTGGAGGGGTTCACAGCATTAACACCCCGAAAGGATCTTCTTTCTCCCATAGCCACAGCCTTGGATTCAAATATAAATCCAGCATGGCCCTCTCTCCTGCTTGCTACTTTGATTCCAGCTCACATCACTGCAATTTTCAGCTCTAAAACTCTGGCTTTGTCTTCACGCACAAGCTGAGTTGGGAAAGGGGGCCCCACCCATTTGCCGTCTCGCACAGAGCCGCTTCCTTTGTTCCCCTTAATGGCTGATCGCCCAGCTAACCCCTCACCAGGAGGCTAGCCTGGCTATTCCAAGAACCAGAAGCCTTGATTAAATTCTAACACTTGCCGGATCCAGGGATTAGAAGGGTCTCAGCATATAGGCTAACACCCCAAACCCCTAACAATAAGTAGGTTCCCATGGGCTCAGGCCATTTAGGGCTTAAAATGTCAAGCCCAGCACTTTAAATTGGGTCTGGAAACCAAGTGGGAGCCGGTGAAGTAGTTGCAAAAGTGTTTCCGCACGCATCTGTCAACACCCCAGCGGCCACATGTTGCACCAGCTGCAATTTGTGGGTGCTTTTCAAAGGCAACCCCACACAGAGCGCATTGCAGTAGTCTAATCTCGATGTGACTAAGGCTTGGTTCACCCCGCTCACTTCACAGCACTCTCCCACCGCAGAGCAGGTCTGAGTAATCTACTGGCAGTTGTTTGCAAGATGCGATGTGCTCTCTGAAACGATTCCTTGTGGCTGCTGTTTTGCGATGGACGTGGTTTTTCATTATTTTGTCTGGAGGCAAATGTTAGATTTTTACATGTGTTGTTAATGCTGCTTGATTTGTGTGTGGGGAGGGATGTGGCACATGTCCATACACACACACACACACACACACACACACACACACACACACACACACACACTTGTGTGGTTGGGCCAGAAAGCTGTTGGATAGGGTCCAAAATCATTACAACCTTGAGAAGACCCCCAGCATGTACAGTGGTACCTCGGGTTACATACGCTTCAGGTTACATACGCTTCAGGTTACAGACTCCGCTAACCCAGAAATAGTGCTTCAGGTTAAGAACTTTGCTTCAGGATGAGAACAGAAATCATCCTCCAGCGGCACAGCAGAAGTGGGAGGCCCCATTAGCTAAAGTGGTGCTTCAGGTTAAGAACAGTTTCAGGTTAAGTACGGACTTCCGGAACGAATTAACCCGAGGTACCACTGTATACTAAATCTAGCATTCTCCTTGTCCTGGGTTTATGTCAAACTCCCTGCAACTTGAAAATCCATCTTTTTATATAAGATACAGAAGCAGCCGGCACATTCACAGTGAAAGGAAAATCTGGGATACTCTTGGCTTGGCGAATGTACAGAGAGCGGAATACTCTCCTGGAGAAGACTCCAGAGTAACGAAGTCATATGGAAAGGAATGGAAGCTAGCCTATTGCTCACATTCGTGCGGAGACATGCTTGGTACAAATAAATCTCTGGAGGAGACGTTGTTGGCTTAAAGGCCTGCGTGTTTGTGTCATACATTCTGCGATACAGTGCGAAGCCCTGCTGCCCTTTGGTCCAGCTCTGTCTATGTGTTCATTTTCTTGATTTTTGATTGTTTAAAATGACGCTCTTCACATCAGATTTTTATTTTTTAAAAAATAAAGAGGAAGCATTGTTGCAGACACGCTTGCCAAGGAAAACACAAGCTGTTTCTGCTCAGGCAGGGTACTTACTGCATGATGCGTCACAGGAAAGGTTCTGTCGGGGTGGAGTGGGATGGTTTATTATTTTAAAACCTCTTTGTAGTCAATGAAGCTTGCGTTTCTAGCATGTACATAAATTGGCCGTGGTATAATTAGCCAGGCTACCGCTGCCGATTAAAACGATAAATCCTTGCAGCGAAGAAGTGTTGAAAGCAAATGAGCGTGTCACATTCTTCTTCTTGGATATAGAGAAGTGGGGAGTTTAAGCGGACTTAAGTAGACATGAGTTTTAGCTTTTAACTGGTCTGCTTTAACTTGCCACTAACCTTATGGGCAACTCCAGCTAAACAAAAGGGGGAATGGGCTACACATGGACTACCAGGCAGAGGGCCTTCTCGGTGGTGGCGCCTGCTCTGTGGAACTGCCTTCTGTCAGACGGCAAGGAAATAAACAACTCCCTGACTTTTAGAAGAAATCTGAAGGCGGCCCTGTTGAGGGAAGTTTTCAATATTTGATGTTCTATTCTGTTTTTAATCTGTTGGGAGCCACCCAGAGTGGCTATTAATAATAATAATAATAATAATAATAATAATAATTATTATTATTATCATCATCATCATTATTATCATTCACAGAACACACAATGGGTAAACTAAGAATACCTGTTTTGGATTTTCATTGAGCAGGAGGAGAGTGAAGAGTTGTCATGGGCCAGGAGTCAACTTCACCTGCTGAACAGTAGCCTGAAGGGGGAGAAAGGGGAGTGACTCCACCTGCAGCTGATCAGCCTTCAAGGCCAGGAGGAGAAGGCAATGATGAGAACCTTCTGGCTTCAGCCTTCTTAAGCAGAGCTCTCAGCAGCCGTCAGATGCTGGAAACAATGCCTGTGGTTCCGGACTCTACCTTTCTGCTCTCTGCTCATCACCTGGACCCTTGGCTCTGTGATCATCTGGATTCCCTGATCAGTGGACTGGACCCTTAGCTCTGTGATCATCTGGATTCCCTGACTTCTGGACTGTACGCGGATTCTGCTCCTAGTCCCTGCATGCTCAGCAACGGGACTTGGGATGGCGCTAGGACAAGAGTGGGAAGGTTCATAGCAAGAAGTAGACCCTTTGAAAAGCACAGACTGGGACTTGGGCGTGTAACATTTTATTTTATTTATAAAAATGCATGCCCCACCTTTCATTGCAAGCAACGTCAGGGTCCAATAAAACAACACAAGCACACACATTAAATTAAAATCAAACAAATAAGATGAAACAATGCATTTTTGAACTCACAAGGCTGCACATTCACCATTTCAACCATCCCGTGCCCAGAGAACCCTGGGAAATGTAGTTTAGCCTTATAGAGCAGGAATTCCCAGCACTCTTAACAAACCAGAGTTCCCAGGATTCTTTGAGGTGGGGTAGAAGCAAACATAAATAACAGCAGAGTTGCACCTTTCATTCACTAATGGTTAATATTTAGCTGTTTAGAAAGTGTCAGTTTGCCTGCCATGCCACTCCATGAAACACAGAAATGGTTTCAAAACCACCCTGTGGTTTTGGCAGCCAACTTTTGAACCAGCCTCTGTAGGTGTGTAGAGTGTTCAATGAGCAGATATTAGCAGGTAATAATGTTAATCGCTATGCTGTGAAAAATGTCAGCTGTCTGTCCTCAACAGAAGCCTCGTGTCCGGATCAAGGGAATTATTAGAATCACTCTATTCTGCCTTGGTACTGGAGTACTGTGTCCAGTTTTTGGCGCCACAATTTAAGAAGGATGTTGACAAGCTGGAACGTGTGCAGAGGACAGTGATCAAGATGATTGAGGGCCTAGAAGCCAAGTCTTATGAGAAGCAGTTGAAGGAGCTGGGTATGTTTAACCTGGAAAAGAGGAGACTGAGAAGGAAATATGAGAGCCATCTTCAAATATCTGAAGGGCTGTTGCATGGAGCTGTGCACATGCAGTTCCACACTCCTTCTCTCAAAGATGTTCACCAGGGTCTCTTTCTCTCTCTAGCTTTGACAGATTCTGGCACAGCAATCTGAACCTGACCAGATATTTGCCCTGCGCTGGCTTCACATACCCTCCAACATTTCTCCGATGAAAATAGGGACATCCCATTCCATAATGATAATTTACTATTGATGCTTTTGAATTCTGGTGCTGGAGGAGACTCTTGAGAGTCCCATGGACTGCAAGAAGATCAAACCTATCCATTCTGAAGGAAATCAGCCCTGAGTGCTCACTGGAAGGACAGATCGTGAAGCTGAGGCTCCAGTGCTTTGGCCACCTCATGAGAAGGGGAGACTCCCAAGAAAAGACCCTGATGTTGGGAAAGACTAAGGGCACAAGGAGAAGGAGACGACAGAGGACGAGATGGTTGGACAGTGTTCTTGAAGCTACATGAGTTTGACCAAACTGCGGGAGGCAGTGGAAGACAGGAGTGCCTGGCGTGCTCTGGTCCATGGGGTCACGAAGAGTTGGACACAACTAAACGACTAAACAACAACCCCATATATCTTGCTGTGTTGCCCCAGCTTCCAACATATATAAAAACATAATAAAACATTAAACTTTTTTTAAAAACAACAACACAACAACAAACCCTTCCCTACAGAGGATTGCCGTCAGACGGCACCGGGGTCAGATAACTCCATACCCTCCAACATTTCTCCAATGAAAACGATGACATCCTAAGGAAAAGCAGGACATTCTGGGATCAAATCAGAAACCGGGACGGCTTCTCTAAATCAGGGACTGTCCCTGGAAAACAAGGGCACTTGGAGGGTCTGCCGCATTTACGAGGGACAAAGGAACCTTGATGGGTTGAAAAAGTCAACAGTGTTTCATTTCCCTCTGCAGACTGTCCTGAATAGTGGCGCTTAAAACTGCTGTTGCTTCTTCTCCTGCTGCCCACAAGCATCCATTCAATCTGATATAGCAAGATTCGCTTTGTTTTCTTTAAACCATCAGCATGGGAGATGCAAGTTGCATCATGCTACAGGCCTGTGTGTGTGTGTGTGTGTGTGTGTGTGTGTGTGTGTGTTCTTTGAGATTAACCGCTTCCCACCACCAGAGCAGCTTCCCACATGAGATGGAACTAGCATGGCATACGTGTGTGTGGGTGGCCTTATGGCTGTGAGCATGGGTGGGTGGGTGCGTGGGAGGCCTTGCAAAACGTGCCAACAGGCATGTGGGAGCAGAGGTTTGCAGCGAGAGGAGATGCCTCATAAAGGCGCCTCAGAATCCAAAGCCTGTTCAAGCCCTTGCACAACAGTTTTTTGCCTGAGATCTCTTGCCATCGCTTGCTTCACAGCCAAGGAGGGAGGCCAGGGCTGCAGGCTGCGGGGATATGTGGAAATCGAGACATTGCGCTGGGATGGATAAATGAAACGATACAGTCCAACATTTCCCCCCCACCTCACAGGCACAATATCTGTCCCTTGCTACTCCTCTCTGGACAGTCCTGCAAGAAATTAGTTCGGCCAATCTCTCTAAGCAGCATGCTTTGCTGCTACAACAATTGCCTGTGCTTTCCCCACAACGGCAATATTTAGGAATCTGCCTTATACAAACCATCAGTCCATCCAACTCAGTATTGGCCTAGACGCTGAGTGGTTGCAACTCTGCAAGGTTTCAGGCAGGGAGACCTGGCCCAGACCTACCTGGAGATGCTAGAGGTTGCAATATACCTACCAACATTTCTCTGATGAAAATAGGGACGTCTTATTTCATAACAATAGGGACGTGGGTGACGCTGTGTGTTAAACCACAGAGCCTAGGACTTGCCGATCAGAAGGTCGGCGGTTCGAATCCCTGCGATGGGGTGAGTTCCCGTTGCTCGGTCCCTGCTCCTGCCAACCTAGCAGTTCGAAAGCACATCAAAGTGCAAGTAGATAAATAGGTACTGCTCCGGTGGGAAGGTAAACGGCATTTCCGTGCGCTGCTCTGGTTCACCAGAAGCGGCTTAGTCATGCTGGCCGCATGACCTGGAAGCTGTACGCCGGTTCCCTCGGCTAGTAAAGCGAGATGAGCACCACAACCCCAGAGTCAGCCACGACTGGACCTAATGGTCAGGGGTCCCTTTACCTTTATTTCATAACAACAACAACAACAACTGTATGAAACTGTATGGATTTGGACAGAATGACAGAGCTGGGGGCTTTAGTGAAAACTGTATGTACTGTATGTTTCTGTATGTACTGTATGTACTGTATGTATGTACTTTATGTATGTACTGTATGTATGTACTGTATGTACTGTATTCAGTACTGTATGTACTGAATGTTTCCAGTTTGTACAGGAAGTCTTGTAATCATGGGAGGAGGGGCAATTTGGAGCTTCCCAATATGTTCAGGCTTGTAGTTGGAGGCAGTGCAGAGGAAACTCTGATGCAGCCCTGGGGAAAACATGATGGCACTTACTGGCCTCAGATATTCTCCAATTTGTGCTTCTTTTCCTCAACCACACCCTTCAGCGCCGTGTGGTGTGTGCACGTGAAGAGAAACGGAAATAAACGAATCTTTCTCTCTGAACAAAATCCTACCTGTGACCTTACAACTGTAAAACAAAAACAAACAAAAACAGTTCAGTGCAAGATTCATTTGCACGGAGCTATGTTGGCGGAAGGCGTTGCAAGGAAGACAAAGTTCTTTTGCCGCGAAGGAATGACTACTCTTATTATCTTTTGGAGCAGTCAACACTTTAGGCATCCTGGTATCACATTCCAAAGGACTGCTGTTTGATAATTGCCCCCCGGAGCTGCCTGCGTAAGTATTTATGAGTCAGGTTCAAATGGAGATGGCTCATGCAGCAAACAAGCGGGGGGGGGGGAGTTTTTTACTTCCGTTCTCGCTTTGCCAGGTCGAGGCTGGCGTAGTGGAGGGGCTTGAGGACTGAGCCCCTTGGGGAGAGAGGTCAGGCATTGGATCCAGCAGATTCAAAGCCTCTGGCTTCCTGCCACCCAAACCCTCATTCTTCAGTTTTCTGATGCTGCCACCAGCGGGGGAATAGCCAGCGATAGCTTTCCCCCTGTCTGAGCACAGCTGGGTTTTTTTGGTCCAACAGAGGCATCAGTGTGTCATCCTGATCCCCTCTAGCCATCAGCAGCAGAGGGTTTAGGATCGTTCTCTTACGTGTATCATCCTTTAGGCTGGCAAAGGAATTTCTTGGAATGCTTGTTGCAATCGGCAAGAGCAGCTGAAACATATAAAAATGTTAGCTTTGCATTTATCACTCTGATTAGTTCTATAGTGTGCAAGGTATCACATAGCAGACAACACAGGTCAGCAAGACGATCAAGGGTCTGGAAACTAAGCCTTATGAGGAACGCTTGAAGGAGCTGGGTATGTTTGGCCTGGAAAAGAGGAGACTGAGAGGAGATATGATAGCCATCTTCAAATATCTTAAGGGCTGTGTTATGTACTAAGCTTGGATTCTAGAACAATAGGCAAGTAAGATCCTAGAATGCAACAACTGATTGGCCTGCAGAAAAAGACCAGTCAGGCTCCAGGAGGAAGTTAATCAGCCTATTAGGCTGGTAGGATCGTAGAATGCAACAACTGATTGGCCTGCAGGAAAAGACGAGTCAGGCTCCGGGAGGGAAGCAGAATCAGCCAATCAGACGGGACTCATTGTGTAAATAATGTATATAAAAGCCTGAGGTTTGGGGGGCAATTCAATCACTGTTTTACAAGCTGCAATAAAGAGCATGAAATCACTACAGGACTCCGAGTATATTTCAGGCTGTCACATGGAAGAGGGAGCATGCTTGTTTTCTCCTGCTCTTGAGGGTAGGACTCGAGGCAATGGCTTCAAGTTAGAAGAAAGGAGATTCCAACCAAACATCAAGAAAAGATTTCCAACAGTAAGAGCTGTTGGACATTGGAACAGTCTCCCTCTGGAGGTTGTGATCTCTCCTTCCTTGGAGGTTTTTAAGCAGAGGTTGGATAGCCGTCTGTCCTGGATGCTTTAGCTGAGATTCCTGCATTGCAAGGGGTTGGACTAGATGACCCTTGGATCCCTTCCAACCCTATGATTCTATAATCCAGGCAGATCTATCTCCTTGCTCCTTTCAGTTTGTAATGGCTGCCTACAAACAGCCAACAGTTAAAATAAACCACCAAGCTGAGTTGTAAACCACATTAGGAAACCACTTGCCCTTGGCAGTGATGGGGCTGGGTGTGGCCACAGATAGCAAAGGATTGCAAGGGAAGTTATGATTACAGAGTCTTACCCCG